CAACATTAAAACAAGCGAGCAGCACAGGCCACTGGTGGACTCAGAGGGGGAATGGGGGGGGCAGTCGCCACCCTAGTGAACGCATGGCTGAAAAAACGTCACTAAATTTCCCTATGTAATGGTGAGAATGCCACTATTAGCTGCTCATCGCACGATTTAGCACCATCTAGGGTGCCCCCTTCATGGGAGATGGTGCCTTGCAGAGGAAGAAGATGCGATGAAGTGTATTAATGAGAGCCCTTCTAGTGGAGAGAATGTGATGCAGTGCCCTATAAGGTGCCCGTACAATGGTCTAAACTTGTGGTGGGCAGTCCAGAAAGGTCTGCTGGGTATGTGGGTTTTCACTGCAACTCACTAATCGGATTATTAATTAGAGCACTGATAGACTGAAGAGTCCTCACGCCTGGGTTTGAACAGCTGACCTAACAGACCTGACAGACTGCTGGTTCGAGATTCGGCAGAATAGTCACGTCTGTGAGCCCATGAGCAAGGCGCTTAAACCTCCAGTTCCAGGGATGCTGGACGCCAGCCGACCCAGTGCTGTGACCCCTAAGCTTGTTCTCCCTGTAAATGTGTCTGTCTCTCATGGAGAGTGAGAAGACAAACATACCAATATACCTGTACTTGTGCAAATAAAGGATCATTTCACTTATAAGCCCTCCAGATAAAGAGCCTTCTTTGTTTCTATAGCAGGTTAGGATGTGTTTTTTACTACCTCACTACCTTCAGTCATTATAAAGTCTGGGTTCTGAATATCAAAAAACAAATCTAGCCAAGTTATCAATCCATGAGAAGGAAGAAATTGTATGTTTGATATACACTCACCTAAAGGATTATTAGGAACACCATACTAATACGGTGTTTGACCCCCTTTCGCCTTCAGAACTGCCTTAATTCTACGTGGCATCGATTCAACAAGGTGCTGAAAGCATTCTTTAGAAATGTTGGCCCATATTGATAGGATAGCATCTTGCAGTTGATGGAGATTTGTGGGATGCACAT